CAGGAGTCTTCAATCAATTGTCACATTTCTGATGTATTCAGCCTTGCTGTCCTTACATTCATATAACACTTTGTCTTTACCTGTTTTATGAAGGAAATAATCCCACACATCACTTTTAGGATTAGTTCTTCTTCTCATATGGATGAAAACACAATTACACCTTTCACAAAAGAGAATAAATGTGTTATTGCCTCTTTATATACTTTTTGTGATGCTTCCAGAAAGTTTCATAACAGTCAGAATTCCTGACTCATGAATGTTCTAGAAAGTTTCATAACATTCTGGAACGTTCTATAATGTTCTCAAACTATCTTGAATGATCAAGAAAGCTCTTCAACATTCAGGGTGTTCTAAAGGTTGAATACAATATATTATTTCAAGAGGAAATGAAAAATTAGAAAATTCTCAAAAATTATCAGGAAATAATCTTTTGGAGAATATTCTCAGAATGTTCTCGTTCTCAGAGAATATTCTCCAGAGAATATTCTCACCTCACATCATTAGACATGGCCATGGACTGAATAGGTCCAGTAGCAATCTGGAGCAGATGGAGACTGAAGTGGATTTAAGCATTTCTTTGAGTCTGGCAAGGATGGAAACTCCTGGGCTTCAGGGTATAGTCCAACAATGGAGATAGATCCAAGTGGCAGGGGATAGTGAAAAACTTCCTTGATGGGCAGTTGATTCCAGATCAACTATGTTCTGTTGGGTTTCTTAAAATCACTGTGGGAAGGTTCTGGAATAAACCAATGTGAGTCAGAGGCCTGGTGTGCTGTACCAATGCCCAAATTCTTCTGGCCCAAGAAAGGGTCCCTGGGTATGGACTATTCTTCTGTATTGCTCTGAACGAAAACCCATAGCCAGTGGCTACATCTCCCCTCACTACCTGAACTGTAGCCTGTTTTTAAAGAGGCCAGTTGGGCTAGAAATTTTTCACTTTTATGTTGTCAAATACAAAAACGGATCAGAGGAACATGTTCATCGTTTGGGAGCTGAGAGCCACAAAAAGGTTGAACAAAAAGGCTACGTCTAGACTGGCATGATTTTCCGGAAATGCTTTTAATGGAAAAGTTTTCTGTTAAAAGCATTTTCGGAAAAGAGTGTCTAGATTGGCACAGACACTTTGCCGCAAAAGGACTTTTTGCGGAAAAGCGTCCATGCCAATCTAGATGCACTTTTGCGCAAAAAAGCCCCGATCGCCATTTTCGTGATCGGGGCTTTTTTGCGGAAAACAAATCCGAGCTGTCTACACTGGCCCTTTTGCCTGAACGGGAGCAGCATAGTATTTCCACAAGAAGCACTGATTTCTTACAGTAGGAAGTCAGTGCTTCTGCGGAAATTCAAGCGGCCAGTGTAGACAGCTGGCAAGTTTTTCCGGAAAAGCGGCTGATTTTTGGGAAAAACTGGCCAGTCTAGACACAGCCAAAGGGAATGGGAAATGGAATCTTTTTGGCTACAGTTCCTGCAATATCAAGCCATGGTACACAGAGAGCTAGTAATAGGGAGGGCAGTGAGTCTCAGTTCCCTGAAGAACCATGAGATGCTTGTACTGAATGAACGTTCTAGGCAGGAATCTCTTCATACCGCCAGGAAGAAGTTGCCCGACTTGGTCCGGAATGAATCTGGCAGTACCCACATGATGCGGTGGCTTCATTTCTCTTTCTAACAAAAATTTGTATCACAGTCCTACAAAGACTCCCTGTAAAGGGCTATGCCTCTAGTGTGAGCACCCCTCAGTGGCCCAGGGGAGTCTTGTAGTCTCTCGACCTGGCTGTCTACAGGAGAGGAAGTGTCCGGAATGTGGCCAGGGACCCAGCTTCTTCCTACCCCC